TATTCAAGCTGACTCAAAACACAAAAGCTTTAATTAAGTTAACTTCCAGTATCCTTAATGGGAAGAAGGGAGACTAGAAATAGTAATGTCGTTGTGTCTGCTGTTTCATAAACGTTATCATAATTCAACCTCATAACGACAAAATCAGTATTCTTATCCTCATTTTCATTATGCTTCTGCCAACCATTGACTTTGTCATGCAGAACCACCACAATGTGTTAGTGTTGGAAATCACACAAAGTTCCATTACTTCCATGAGGCTCATAGCCAAAGAGGGATTATCAGGGGAGCCACCTCACTGTTGCTGATACTGAATTAGGGTTCCTGGATAGGAGAACAAACAGCATGAACAGCTAAATGATGAGTTGGATATCGGAGACTGGGGAAAGATATCCAAAAAGGAAATAAAGCAAACGCAGAATCAGCCAACAAGAATTGTTTGAGCGCTTATTTGTGCCTCAACATTATGCTAGGTGTTTTAGGAAACAGTAGGTTTATAGTTTATCCTTGCTTTCAAGGATCCTGCCAGCAACCTGAGATGCCTAAGAAAATTGATATCTCTTCAGCTTAGATTCTAACTCTTCAGAGGTACCAAATGATAACACAATGATGAAGCTTGAGGACTCTAGCGCCAGCTGCCTAGGCTCAAATCCTGCTTTGAGTTCTATCAGCTGTGTGATATTGGACAAGTTACTTAACCTCCCTGAGCCTGTTTTCTCATTGGTAAATTTTAGGTAATAATAATTGTACCTATGTGAAATTATGTGAGAATTAAATGACTTAATACAGGTAGCATGCCTAAAGAGTGCTTGATACCTACTAAATGACTGATATATGGTAGCAAATATTATTTATTGTAGAAGGGCAACATTATCCTGCTTCCTATGGTAATGCTGAAGGGTAACATCTCAATCAATATCTGCAATTCTCTCCATAGACCATAATAAGTGCCAGTGGTGAGAACTTACAATGCACCAGAAATCATAGTAAGGACTTCCAGATGAGGAAACTGAGACCCTGAAAAGTAGATGCCTCATCTAATGTCCTCCAGGTGGCAGGTACCAGGAGTTTGTTGTCATACATACGCACTGATAGAAAATCTTTTATTCTTAAATATCTGGATGAACAAAGCATAGAAACATGTAATTTCAGCAACAACGGTAATTCTAAAAATAGTATCAGGATAATAGAGACAGGAAGCGTAATTCAAATCTCAAACATTTCTCTATTACCCTGCAAATCTCTCCGGCTAATAACAACATTTATGAAGTTTTTACTTAAATGTATTTTTTAACTCACTTTTGTTCTCAGTCTCTGCTGTCTGCTGGGGTGGTGGTGATGTTGGCAGATTGGAGGAGAGAAGAAATGGCTAAAACAATGTTGGCCTAGCTTAAAGGGGGCAGGTTCTAGGAAACACATGAAAGCCATTATAGCTAATAAAAAGAATTGGGTAGGAGCCTCGGGCCTTATATCAGGTGACTTGTCTTTTCATTCACTCTGTGGTACATGCAAGGATTGGATGTCTTCTTTATCCCAAGAACCATACTAGACACCAGGGGGTCCATGAAGTGCGAGAATTTCTACTCTGCACCGAAAGACAGACTGCCTGTGATGACCATGAGACCCACTGATCTTGAACTAACAGAGAGGAAGGATCCTTTCTGAGGCCAGTGCTCAGGCCAGAGTAAAGGGAGAGGGGCCAACTTGATCAAGCTCCTGTGTCTATGGTGTGGTTTTAACATTGGGCAAGCCAGAGTTCCACCCAGGCTTGGCCACTGCCCAGCTGGGTGACACCCAACAAGCCTAGGACCTCTGTTTCTTCATCCTAAAAAGAAGGTAGGGACAGCTACTTCCCAGGGTTATTGTGAAAAATAACCAAGGTAAGACAGATGAGTGATTCTAGAACAATGTTTGGCACATAGTAGATGCTTTATACATGTGTGATCCCCTCCTCCCTGTCCCCACACAACCTCCCCAGGAGCACCCAGAGACTGGTAAGCATGGTGGTTAAGGGGATACGCTCTAGGGGCAGGCAGGCTGGACTAAATTACTTGCTCGACCACTTATTAGCTGTGTGACAAGGGGCAGGTAACTTAACTTCTCTGTGCCTCAGTTCTCTCATCTGTAAAATGGGATAATAAGTAACTTCCTCATCAAAGAATTATGAGACTTTACCGTAATGAATGTATTAAAAGATAAGCTGAGGCGCATAAAAATTTCAACTGTTTATTTGAGCCAACATTGATTCCACTTGGGCATCACCAAACTAGGAGTGGTGAGGAGTGCTCCACCAACAGGAGCTAGGGGAAAGACTTCATAGAGCACACATGGAAGCAAAGCAAGAAAGTGGCTTGATTGGCTATCGCTTTAAGCCTAGTCAATTGTGATTGGTTGTTTTTAAATTTCACTTTTTCAGATTCAAGTGCATTTATGATCGACTCTGGCTTAGGTTTCAGTTTGCTTGCGTAGGCTACCAAGGCATTAGAACCAGCAGAGTCTGACAGCCTCCTTGTTTAATTACTGTAACAAATGTGACAGGCCAGCAGGAGATAATAGAGTGCACACTTAGGGCTCTCGACACATCCCAGGTTTTAATTAATTTACTTCACCTAACAACCCTAGAAGAGGTGTATTCTTTTTCTCCATTTTATAGAAGAGGGAACTGGAATGTAAGGATGTTAAATATACTTCCCATTCTCACCCAGGCAGCAATGGCAAGGCAGGGATTCAAATTTGAGAAGTCTCCCTCCAGAATCTGGTCTTAGTCACCAGTGGCTCTCATAAGCCTAGTGTTACCTGTCATTACCGGGTGGTTGAGACACCAGGAGGATAGGCTGGAATTGTAAAATGCTCCATTTCTTCTGCCTGCCTCTTCCCCATCCCCAACCCCCATTTCTTGTCTGCAATTGACATTCATAATACAGTTTTTACAAGCTTAGTGTTTGATATTATCCAAGATCTCCACTCCAATCAAATTTAGGTTTGATGCGATAGTTAGACTTAATTAGAGTCAAATTCCTCTTTTATTTTGGTTTTATCTTAATCACCCCTTTTATCCACTGGTCCAGAAGCCTATAATTTCCCATACAGGTCCTCAGAAATGTCGTATTATACATTCAGAACCATGAGACAGAGTTTGTTGTACACACCTAATGCCAGCACACTTTTCAGTCTGAAATATTTTAGCCAAGACAGTGTAGGAAAAAAGTATAATTTCTCCCAAAGACTCTTGTCTAAAAACAATAGCAGAATAATGTTTTCCTTGAAAACCTCTCTACTGAGAAGAATGCAAGTATGCAATACAAATATGAGAAGCATTTCAAAAACCAATGGCAAGGTGGGAAAGTGCCCAATGACAGTTAACGTGGTTGTAGGACCATCGAGGTCCCCCAGACACAGAGGAGGAAGAGGCAGACCACAGAACTTCCCAACTGCAAGGAATCTCAAAGACCACCTAATCTAGTTCTCTGCAAATCCTTTATAAGTGCCCATTCTTTTGTTCGAGTGAAATCTTATCCTGAAGATTTGTATAAAAGCTGAGATGCTCTTATTGAAGCGGGAAGGAGAGGCCTAGAGCCTAACCCACTCCATTCCCGTCCTTTCACCCCCAACAGCCTGAAGGCTCTGAGGAACCCCTGAGGCTTCCTTGGAGCACAGTTTGAAAATCACTATCCTAACCCAATACCCGCCTTTTACCACTGGGGAAAATGAAGCCCAGAGAAGCTACTTGACTTGCCTGAGGTTACACAGCAATACAGCAGCCTAGGCGGTCGGTCCTCCTATCTTCCTCCAACAATTTTTCCATGATGACACCTGAGTTCTCTGATGAACTACCTTTTGTTTCTTCAGACTATACATGTTTTTGTGTTTGTATGTTTGTCTCGGTGCCCAGTGTTCCAAAGAAAACCTAACAAACCAGTCCCTGCTTTTAGTCCAAAGCTTGGCGTCTGCACGTTGGACACATCTTGGCTGCCCAAGAGAGCTGGGAGCCCAGAGCAAAAGGGCATGGGGTCATAAATGCTGTCCCATGGATGACCAGGGACACTATTTCACAGCCTAAAGTAGGTCAAGTTTCTACTCTGACACAGAAGTCCCAAAAAGCAGGTAGTTCTTAGCTAGACACCTGAGAGCTGGCATCCAAGACAGGTCTGGCCTCGGAGCTGTTGACGCCTGACTGGCTCCCTGGATCTCTTTGGTTCTCCATCGGTAAGGTGGGGGGAAGGGAGGGAGAGGGGGCAGAAAGCTATCGCATAGCTCATCACATCATAAAGATGCTAAAAGTTGAATAAGTTAATGTATCCAATGCTGAAAGACTCTAAGAAAGGCCCAACAATGGCTCTACAAGCTGGTTCCCCTCGCCTGATCCGAAGGCATAAGGTTGGAGGAAACGATAGAGAAAGGGGTTTCTGGCTCCCGTGCTATATCCAGGAAAAGGCTATGATCATAACAGCTAACAAAGGGCTCGCTCGGTGGGTCCCCTGCATTACCCCATGTGACCCTCAGAGCAGCATCAGAGTGATGAAGCTCAGACAGGCTCATTAAGTTACTCAAGGTGACACAGCTAGAAAATGTTGGACCTAGAATTTGAATCCAAAGCCATCTGGCTGCAAAGCTTGTGTTCCTAACCACTGTACCACCCTGCCCTTCCTCCTGGCCACAAGGGGGGAAAAGGGAGAAGACCTACTACACAAAGTGCTGGACTCCACCAAGCCCAGAGGGAGGCCGCGGAGACAGGCACCAGGTCGCACGAGTGAGAATCCCGGGCCAGCGCGGGATCCTGCAAAGCTCCCAGGGGCAAGAATTCTGCGCTTGTTTACTGAGTCCCCTGGGCCAGGAGGGAGGGTGGTGAGCTGGGCACAAAAGCAGGATAAAGGTAAACTTTCTGCACGTGAGAACCATTCCCCCCCTCCAAGGAGCGAGGAGCGGTGTCACACTGTATGTCATCAAAGGGGCTGTGCGTAAACCTGAAAAACCAAACGGACCTGTCTGTAGGTGTTACTTATATCACAAGGCTACAGGTGCCTTATTTCCACCGGGCGCCGGTGCTGGGAGCGCCTGCCTTCTCTTGCCTTGAAAGCCTCCTCTTTGGACCTAGTCAGCGCTATCCTCACGTAAGCACCTTTTCTTTGCTCTTTCGGATGAATTGTGCGGGGTGTCAGGGCTTAGAGGCTCCGGCTGGGGCGCGGATCTGTTGGTTGGTCTCCAGCTCCAGGTCGCCAGAGCCTCCTGCGGGTTCCATCAGTCACGGTGCCTCCCGGGGGCTGTGTGACTGGGATTTAACTGCTTGCCTGAAAAGGACACTTCTGCCGCCACAGGCTAAGGAGCCACCCACCCCCTCCTCAGCAGCCCCCACTCCCTCTGGATCTCTTGATTACACCAAGGCAAACCAAGAGGGAGTGAGGGCAGGCACTCAATTCCCTATGCTTCCTAAAACTATCAGGAAAGCTGGATTTTGCACTGAAAAAATATTCAGCTTCAAGGAGAGCCCACCTCCCCGTGGCTAAACTCCTCCTTTCCCCTCTGGCCTGCTTATAGTTTTCTCGGGATACAGAGAAAACAAGCTGCCTTATCACAGTTTGGGGTATTTTTTCAAGAATTTATCTGTACGAAGTAGCTTAAAAGAAACCTGTTTTGGCCTCTCGCACCGCCTTAGTATATAGAGAATCTTTCCAGAAAAGCCGTGGGTAGGGTTTTTCCACTGTATGCTCAGGCCTTTCCAGACTCTGCAGTGTGGGGGTTCTTGGTCACTCGCCCCCTGCTGGCAGACTCCGGTGGCACAGTTTCCCTTTTCTAACTGAAGGCTGGGACCCACCTTTGGTTGTGCTAAGAATTTTACAAACTGGAAAGGATGTCAGAGACCCTTAATTACAACCTCTTCGTTTCACATATGAGTAAACTGAGGCCTAGGCTGAGAGAGACAGCCTCATGTTTGGGTCCACAGACCCGGGGAGAGGGGTCGTTTGCCCCTCTGAGTGAAGGCGTAATTCTGTGTCCTCACGTTCCCTGTGGCAGTGTTTCTCGTGATTCAAGGTGTTCTCAGCAGGAGTTGGCACAGTTTGGTTGTCTTCTTTTCTCAAAAGTCACCTGAGTCGCAGCCTTTTAGATTCATTGACGATGACTGATTTTCCTCCTTCTGGAAATGAATATATGTCTGTGCCCATATTTATCTAATTTTAAGTCCTCTGGAACACCTGAGGATTCCATATTGAAATCTCCATTTTAGAGGTAAGCTCAGAGAGGGTCGTGGATTTTTATGTACCACACCTTGCATGAAACAAAAATAATTTTGGCAGGCCGAGTTGTAAGAAATAGGTCCTATGTTTCTTACCTTGTGGGGACAGAGGTAGGATTGAACCCCCTTTTGGATTAAATGGGTTTAATCCAAGACCGAGGAGCTTTGCATTGGAGCCCATGGTAAACTATAAGGCATACCTTCTATGGGTTTCTGCACCTTCAGAAAAACAACCAAAAACAAACGGAAGAGCAAACTCCCTGAGCAAGCTAAAGAAAATGAGGAATCGCTTGGCAAGACGTCAGCGAGGCGGTTCTCACAGCTGCTCTGGTTTCTCCCAGAAGAACAAACACTCAGGCACCCAACCCACAATCCTTTAACAGCAAGTGTCGAAATAGTCCACTGGATTCCCCTTCGTGTGTCCCTTCCTAGGGACATCCAAGGAGTGGGAAATTGACCGTGCCTTGCACACAGGGCTTGGGACCCGGTACGTTCTGGTGTCACTGAAGCCTCGGAGGAGGAAAACCATTTTCCTCCCCAAGGACACTGCTCACATGGTGAGATCAGTGAAGGCCCTTCTCGACCCCCTTTCCCTTGGCTTATATCCTGACGGCCTGGTTCTGCCTGGTGATGTTTTGGTGCATAAACAGCCAATGCATTGATGCTTAATTGGGTAGAATTTTTGGTCACATGCCCAGAGTGGAGTTGATGATCTCTGCCAGGGTCAGGAAGGAATTTTCCTCCTTGGACAAACTGGCCAAGGCTGGGTGGTTTGCTCCTTCCCCTCTCTCTCTGGGAGGCTGAGCAGAGGTGCCTGGTTGCGCAGGCCATGGGCACCACACCTGTGACTGCTGCCTCTGACTCGTGCCGGGCGAGAAGCCCACAGGCCTGTCCCTCTGACTGTGTGGACCCTCCCTGTGCACACTTGGTGAGTGAGCCGGCTCTCAGAAGGGGGAGGAAGCCCCTGGAGTCAGCAGGGACCTCAGCCTCTATGCCATCGCTGTCTCATTTTGAAAGGTACCTTCAGCCAGCCTTTCTCGTGCATGAAAGGAAACCCACCTGAGTCCGCCCTCTTGTGTGGATTGTGCTTGAACTTTCCCTACTTTTGAGGCAGCTAGAATGGTGATGACGTGGGAGAAACTGATCTAGCAGCTGTGGGTCTGGTGATGGGCAGGGCAGCTAGAATGGTGACATGCGGGGGAAACAGATGTAACAGCTGTGGGTCTGGTGATGGGCAGTGAGTGAGGAGCCGGAGTGCTTAAGGGGCCTGGCTAACCAGGCCGAGAATATCCAGAGTCCACTGCTGAAAGTAGTGGGCATAGGAGAAAAGGGAGAAGAGGAAAGAAGTTTAACCTCTGTTTGTAGTGGTCTGGTGAGCATACTTGACCAAAATATCCAAATATAACCAACATCTATGCCTACGTGGGTGTGTGCCCTTGTTTGGGTGTGTTGACCCAGTCAGGTGGGTGCTGAAGAAAATCGTGGAGCTGGGGCACAGCTTGGAGTCCGCCTCGCCAGTGTGTTCTTTTAGTAGATGAGGAACCAAGGCTTGGAGAGGTGCAAGAGGCAGAGTCCTGACTCCCAGCCCAGTGCTCTTTCCAAGATGACAAACCAGCCAGCCTCTCAAAAAACAAAAATGTGTGGCTGGAACAGTAGGCCTAGGACCCTCCCTACGTATCCCCCTCTTCTCCTGCTGCTGACTCTAAGCCTAACCCAATGCTACTCAGCCACTTTTTCATTATGGCCCCTACTAAGGGGCTTTTTTAGATAATTTTTTCTTAATCGTCTCTCCCCCCCATGAAATGTTAATACCATAGAAATACTGTAAACTGTAATGAACTGTGGCCCTTTGGAGAGTCATGAAACATAATACCATCTAAGATTTTTTGACCCCTCAAGAAGCCATTTTTTCCCCTCTGGGTCAATGCCACCCCCCTTTGGGAATGTATGGGTTAACTTCAGGCCTGGGCCTACCTATAGCTGGTCCTCAGTTTCCTCGCTGAGAAATGGGTCTCCAGACAGCTGTTTCTACTTACCCACCCTGTTCCACCTACATTAATCTTAAGAACCCTGGCTGGGTGGCTCAGTTGGTTGGAGTGTCGTCCCATACACACACACAAACACACACCCATAAAAAAAAGGCTTCTGGTTTAATTCACAGTCAGGGCACATGCCTAGGTTGTGGGTTCGACCCCTGGTCAGAGTACATACAGGAGACAACAAATCAATATTTCTCTCTCACATCAATGTTTCTCTCTCTCTCTTTGTCTCTCTCTCTAAAATCAATAAGCGTATCCTCAGGTGAGGATTTTAAAAATTATAAAAAAAGAAATCTTACGAGCTAAAATGTTCAATTATCGCAAGGACCCTAGAGGGCCTAGGAAGCTGAGCTATTGGATATAAGGCACCCATTGTTCCTGAACTCTCACGCCTAGAGCATGCTGGCTAAGTGGCCAAGGTCTTTTGTGGAGATCCCAGGGTTAATAAAACCCCCTCCTCCTGCCAGAGCAAAAAAAAAACTTCTGCTGCTTTTATAAAAGACATTTTCCCAAAAATCAAGAAATGATTACAAAAGAAAAATAGCACGGTGTTCCCCTGAGAGAGCCCTTTAAGAAAACGTAATGGATACAGTTGGCCATAGAAGGAATTAGCAAAGGGAATCAGACNATAAAAAAAGAAATCTTACGAGCTAAAATGTTCAATTATCGCAAGGACCCTAGAGGGCCTAGGAAGCTGAGCTATTGGATATAAGGCACCCATTGTTCCTGAACTCTCACGCCTAGAGCATGCTGGCTAAGTGGCCAAGGTCTTTTGTGGAGATCCCAGGGTTAATAAAACCCCCTCCTCCTGCCAGAGCAAAAAAAAAACTTCTGCTGCTTTTATAAAAGACATTTTCCCAAAAATCAAGAAATGATTACAAAAGAAAAATAGCACGGTGTTCCCCTGAGAGAGCCCTTTAAGAAAACGTAATGGATACAGTTGGCCATAGAAGGAATTACCAAAGGGAATCAGACACAGCCCTGTGTGCAAAACTAGTGAGATTACAGAGCAAGTGAGTGGACCCGTGTAGGGGGAAAAAAATCCTTAAAGGAGGCAAATATCCTATTGATCAAAAATATTCCTAATTTTTATATGACCAAATTGAATTTACCAATCGACTTTTGAGAGCTGTTTGTCAGGTGTAGATGAAGGAGCGCTCACTCCCGCTGTCGTGTTCTGCGTCTGGAGGATTTCTAGCTGACATTGAAGCCCTGGGACGGTTTCCTCTGTTCTTCCACGTGGAACCCATCTGTCCTTTCTCTGAACCCCCCAGGAAGGTCACGTCAGAGGACCCCCATCCTCTGCCTCGGTTTTCTGAGCCTCTGGCCCAGAAGGGCAGGGGCCTTTTTACCCTGAGCTCTCACTTAGGGGAACTTCCCTGATGTGGATTCCAGAAAGTGGAAGGGGTTGAGGCTCCAGGGGCTCTTTCCTTTCTCATAACCTCCTACCCCTATCCCTTTTCATCCTGCCTGCTGTTCAGGATATAAAACCAGCCAATCCATGGGAAAATCAGAGCCCGAACGCAGGCAGCCTTGACCTCTGTGTGATATGGCTCCCAGGGGGAGATCCATGAACACGATAATCCGCCCGGAACATTAACCCTCTGTGGGCATCAGGTAGGAAGTTCCCCGTGGGGTCTGGTGACTCTTTGTTGACGGCACAGAAAGGGTGCCTGCATGTGAGAATTTGAACTTACTTGTTTATGTCAGGAGCCTGGTTCTCGTGAACATTTGATGATGATAGATTTGCAAACACCCCCAAAGAATTGGTCTTTGGTTCTGGAACCACAAGATCCCTGCCCCTCTCAGTACTGAGGTCCTACTCAATACGTGAGTGTGCCTGGGATGTACCTATGGGCAATGTGACTGTGTTTTTAGAAAGGGTCACTGATGGGCCCCTAGTCAGAGAACTGAAGAACTTTCTACATGCAATGTAACATTGCCACCAGCTGGCTCTGTGACCTTATGACAAATTCCCTGGGCCTTAACTTTCTCAATTCTAGAATGACAGAGCGGGGAAGGGGTGGGACTAACTCAGCACTTTCCGACACATGGTACTCACACCACTCACGATACTTACATGAGATGAATCTGGTCAAGGGTAGGCAAACTCTTACTTAAAGAGTCAGAGAGTAAATATTTTAGGATTTGTGGGCCAAAAGGCAAAACCAAAGATATTGTGTAGGTACCTACATAACCATTTAATATGTAACCATTTAAAAATGTAAAATCATTTTTAGCTGCAAGCCATTCAAAAACAGGTGGTGAACTGGATTGGTCCTGTTGTATTTTGCTAACCTCTGACTCAGGTGATAAATGGATGAACAATTTTTATTTATTTAAGTGCTTGTGTCTTCATTTTTACATATGTCCAGAAATACTGACTTTTCATTTATAGAGGTGATATAAAGTTTTCCTTTTTAATAAATGTATTTATGTTCAAACAAAAAGGGAGTAGATTTTATTTAATGTATTAAGTAAATTATGGTGATGGTAGGCAAATGACTGAAGTCGGGAAACACTGGCCTAGATGATTGATAAGCTCCTGACAGTCTTAAAATTCCATGTGCTTAATATCCCAAGACCCAGAACCCAGTCTTTGCTCTGACACTTACCAGCTATGTGATCTTGAGCTGCAATGTCCCCTTTGCAAAATGGGGGTGGAAACACCTTACCTTGTCAACATTACTTCAATAATAAGAAAAGAGAAGTTGGGCAAACAGATTTTTTTAATACACCACGTATGAATTGTTTTTTGTCTGAATTGTGGGAATATGGGAATCAGCAAAGAGAAACTTGAATGATGAGACTGACGGGCAAGAGTGTCCGAGAGTGGGGGCCCTAGCCCCTCTGTTCTGCCCCTTTCCTAGCCTCGACCACACACCTTCTCCCCAGTGTCCCACCTGCCAGTTCGAGCAGGGATTAGAGCACAGCCACCAGGATCAGGACTTCACACACGCAAACCTGAGTTGTCCCCAGACTCCATCGCCTGCCAGCTGGGTGGCTTGGGTGTGTTCAATGGAATGTCAACGTGTCCACTCCTCATCTGTGGAAAAGAGCCGCTACCAGAACCAGCCTCAGAGAGCTCGCTCTGAGGAGCCCATGAGCAATGAACATAAAGTACCGAGGCGCTCAGCACAGAGTCCAAAACAACTGAGTGTGTGTCACAATCATATCCAAGGCCCTGGGGCTGGGTGTGCTGCAGAAGTCACAGTTCTTCAGGTATCAGGAAGGTTACGCGGCGTATAAGCAGAATACTAATACTACCCCTTGCCGGGTGTTTCTTCCAGTCCTGCTTAACCGCATTGATGTTCCTGCAGAATGTCACACGAACATTCACTCAGGTAGAATAAATAAAACTGTAACGATAGTTACAAACTGCATAGCATATATACAGTTTATATGTTTAGGTATAGTGCATCGTGTATACATAATCTGTATATGTATATGTATAGCATACAGTTTATATAGAGAGAGAGATGGAACCTTTATATGACAGTATATAAAACTATATAACATCAGTTCAAAACTGTTTTTTTGCTGAGGAACAAGTTTGCACCAAAGACACGCACACACACTTTTGGTGTCAGAGCTCTCGGATTTTGGAATGGTAGATAAGGGTCTGTGGGTAAATTCACTGGTAGCAACTCTGGCCCTGTTTTCAGAAGCATATTGTTAGACATGATAAGCCAGAGTTCAGAGGTCAGGGGTGAATGAATAGAAGTAACAAAAGAGGTAGTATTGCATTATAAGAGCCCCACCCTCAAATCCCAATTTTGCCACTTACGGGCCACATTATGTGGGCAACTGTCTCAACCTCTCTGCCTTAGTCTCCTCATCTATGAAATGGGGATAGATGTACAAACCTCACGGGATGGGACAGGACTGTGGAAAGCACTTAGAGGGATGCCTGGCTCCTGGGAAGCTGCTCCTATTTGTGTTTTCTGTCATTGTTGAAACCGATGTGGCCCACCGGGGGTCCTGCAGTGTGGTTTCCAGAGGTCACCACCATCCTCACAGCCTCTCTCGTCGTTGCAGGGTGATGTTGGACTCGGTGACACACAGCACCTTCCTGCCCAACACGTCCTTCTGCGACCCCCTGATGTCGTGGACTGATCTGTTCAACAGTGAAGAGTATTATCCTGCCTTCGAACATCAGACAGGTACGCACACCTGGAGACGCACACCTGAGCTGGGATGGGCTGGGGCAAGAGGTGGTGCTGGCCTTGGGCCCGGGACAAGGCCACCCTAGGGGCCTGAAAATGCCAGCTCTCACCAGTGTCCAGGGCAGATGGCCAAGGGGAGCGTGGGTGGCAGGAAGGGCAGCTTCTGCAGAGAGGAAAGCACTGGGACCTCACCTCAACCTGCCTAGCTCTGTGGCCTCGGGGGCTCTGCTCACCTCTCTGAGCCTCATTTGCTATCCGATAAAGTGCGATGATAATACCAGTCTCTTGGAGTTATATTTAAACAGTGGAGTAGAAAGAAACCTTTAACCCAGAGCCTAGCGCGCTGTGATTGCTCCATTCTCATGGTTCTAGCTAACATTTTCAGAACACTAGCTATGCGCCAGACCCTGCCCCAAGCATCAGTCTCATGCTTAGAGAAGCCTTATGAGAAACGAACAATTATGATTCCCACTTTAGAGATGAAGAAACTGAGGCACAGAGAGGTTAAATGACTTGCCCAAGGTCTCACAGTTTGTTGAGTTTCATGCACATTGACTTGAGAACCTGTACTCTTAACTAGCCCACATGGTCAGCTTATCAATGATGTAATTCTGGGTTGTTGCTATTAATACTATTGTTATTCTCTGAGATTCTATCTCTGTATCCCTAAAGCAGGGATGGTGAGAGCTACTGTAAGGATCAAGGGAGCCAACATGTGTAAAATGCATAGCTTGGCACAAGCAAGTGCTCAGCAAATGTGAGTCCTGCCATTGTCCCCCAGGCTGTCCTCCCACCCTTCCTCCTGACTGGGCCCAGTTTTCCCCACCTGAGAAGCAAGCACAGGGCCTTGTGCAAATCCCACACCAAAGGGAGGCCAGCTGAGCTTTGCCCCAGAAACCCTCAAAGGGCCTCTGTCCCCAGGTGCTTAGGTGACTGCACATCCCAGCAAACCTGGCTGACTGCTAGCAAGGCAGGTGCACACCCTGCGGGAGGGCGGTGATGCAATTGCTAATCAACCGTCAGTCCTCACAGAGCCTTAACTCCATGCACCCCAGCCTGGCAGGTCCAGCCTCAGGGTCAGGAGACAGGGTCAGGAGGCAACACTCCCTGAGGGAGGAGTCCAGGAGAGGCCAGGCCTCCGAGGATGCTGTGAAATGTCCGCCACCACAAGGGGCCCCTGCCTCCAGGCCAGACGCCAGGGCTGCACAGACAGCCTTGAGGCACTTGCCTACGTAATTCAGTCCTGCACCCACTTCCCACCTCTGCCCCATGCACACACGTGCACACAGCACATCTTGCACCCTGGGCTGAAGGGTCCAGGTAATTGCATTAGAACTCAGTTCATTCAGATACATATCATAATTCTCTATTGGGCGTAAGAAGCACCTCATTTCCCAGAAAGACAATGAGAAATGTGTTTGATTTTCTCCCCTCAGTGTTTGATTAAGAGGCTAAATTTGAAGGAGGAAAATGAAGGCTTTCATGCCCCCATCCCTTCCCCATGGGTGGCACCATGGCGGGCCCAGCTCCTGGTCCTCTCCACACACACCTATCCCAGACCTGCCATCCAGGAGCCCCCTCTTCCTGCCTGTTCTGCAGGGTGGCAATTGGAGGAAAGTGGGAGGGAATGGCCTCAACTGCTGACCCATGAGATGTCGCAGGCCCAGGACCAGCAGCTTCTGCAGTCCTCAAGAGCTTGCACTTTGGAGCCAGGCACCGTAAATGCGGTGTCTGGCTTTGACACCATCTAAGCCTCTCATGCCTCAGTTTTCTCATCTGTAAAATGGAGACAGTAATAATGCCCACCTCGCAGATTAGTGAAATGTTTGGGCCACAGGCACATGATAAGCACACATAGGTGTTTAAAAATGAAGGATTTGTTTTGATTGGGGAAGGTGAAAAAGTTCTAGAGATCAATAGTGGTGATGGCTGTTCAACAGTGTGAATGTACTTAATGCCACTAAACTGGACATTTAAAAAGTGTTAAAATGGTAGATTTTACATTATGAATATTTTACCATAGTTTTTTAAAAAGAGTTAATCTAAGTGATTGCCACTAGGATTGCCAATGTGGCTTAAGTCCAGTAGCCTTAGATACAGAGACACTGCTTTCTCCTGTCCAAGGCCTCTTCATTTCCATCAGTGCAATGAGAGGTTGAACCAGGTCATTGCTAGGATCCCTTCTAGAAGCTTCTCTGATTCCTGCATCAGGCAGTAACACAGATGCAGCCTTCTTCCTCCATCACCCATTGAAAGAATAGAAATCCCCAGCAAGGCATGAGGCCAATGGAAATTGGCCTCATGGAGGGACCCAGCTTCCTAATATCCCCCGAGGGAGGAGTCGGGCTTTTGACTTGCCACCTGCTTCTCCGGATCTCAGTTGAGTGTCTGTGGCCTCCCGAAGTCGAGGCTGGCTAGTCCCAGAGAGCTCCTGGACTAGGTGAGCCTCCTAGGTTCCAGCTCTCCTCAGAGCCCCATCTGTGAGAGGATGGCTCGGGGGTGCCTTCTGCCTTTTTCTCACCCAGAGAGATGACACACCAGTTTGAGTGTCTGCAAAAGTCCCCACTGACAGCGATGTGTCAGGAGACGGTCAGCTTCACCTCTGGCCACGGCTCTGCACACTTTGCGTGTCAGTGGTCAGCAGGCTCTGAGATGTTTCTCCTGCCTTGAAGGAAATTCCATCTTGAATTTGGAGTTGTTCCAGGCCAGCCCCATGGCCTTGGGCAGGTCTTGTCTAACATTGCTGGGACACACTTTCCCAGCTGGAACCTCACCTGCCTCCTGGAGCTGGGAGGAAGGACAGCAGATGGCAGATTCCACCTATCAAGTGGGCAGCAGAACCCCTGGCACTCGGTAGGTGCTCACCGTAGCCAGAAACAGCAGACGACTCCCTGTTCATGGGAAAACAGCTTTCTCTCTCCCCTCTTCATTTTTCATATTGAACAAAAGCGACACAGGCCTCAACCTTTCCAATTTAGAATTTTTGACAGCTTAGATACTTTGAGACCAAATGGAGAGAAAGGGAGACAGAAATGAAGTGCCCACTAGGCCAGTGATGTCTCTGCGAGGGCAGGGAGGGGCGCTCAGCCTCGCGAGGAAGCCCAGCTGTTTTCACCACCTTTAGGCTTCGGCAGGGAGCGGCTGAGTGGGCGCTAACCGCAAAGGTGACCTGCTCTTTGAAGGGGGACTTCTGGCCTGGCTGCCCTGCAGGCTGGGGCTGGACAGTCAGCTTGCAAAATACTCTCGGATTTCACTAACTCACCCTGGCCCTCCCTTCAACTCTTAAAATAAAGAATTACAACCACTGGAAAAATTTATCAAAGGGGGGGCTGCATATATGTTATAAGCATATGATATTTTTAAAAGGTAATTTCTCCAATCAAGTTCGAGCAGCCAAGCATCTAAGGAGTCATGAAGTATCCTGGCCTCACCCGTACTTTCTGGAGCTCCATCTTCAACCTACACACACACACACACACACACACACACACACACACACACGGATATACACACGTTCGCACGCACATGCACACACGGATATACACACGCTCACACGCACATGCACACGCACACATGGATATACACACGCTCACACACATGGATATACACATGTTCGCACGCACATGCACACACACACACTCCCGTGGTTACCACACCCACATGTGGTGCCCCCTTTGCTTTGGAATCTCGATTATTCTCTGCAGCAGAAGTTTCTAGATTGGGCAGCTCCAGGGGTTCCTGGGAGGGTCCTTGGCAACCTGGAGGGACAGTGGAGAAGGCCAGCCTCCAGCCCCCTCCTCTCCCTCCAGCAAGGCTCCCACAGTTTAATTCTGAAGACAGTACAGTATAGTGGTTATCAGGGCAGGGCTGCAGGAGCTGGAAGATACCTCTGTGACCCACTCTTAGCTCTGCCTCTTACTCGTGTGTGACCTTGAGAAAGGACTTCACCCTTCTGTGCCTTCCTTCCTTCATCTACTTTGTAGAATGGGTAACATGATGTAGGACCTCACAGCATTGTACCGAGGATAGCATGAGAACACTCGGAGAGCAGCAGCAACTGGCACATGCTAAGCACTCAACAAACACGTTAGCTGTTATTACACAGTGAGAGAGATTATTTGAAGAAAAAAGGTGCAAAACTCACTGGTCTTGGGTATTAACAGCCAGACCATCAGAGAAAAGAAGCATCTGGGCCCCATGTGGGCTTTTCTAAGCAAGATTCGTGGGCTGGGTATAGAAGTGTGAGAGCACATGCAAAAGAAAGAGTAAGAATTTCTAAATCAAAAGCAGATAAATACAAAATCACTGGGAAGGCTGAGGTGAGCCCTGTGGCAGTGGTCATGCCCCAGGACACCCCCGGGAGAGGCCTCACGTTTGCCAGTGCTTGCCTGTCCTGCACAAGTGTGAGCCTTCTGAGCAGCCGTGGCCCCAGGACCACTCAGGCTTGGTGCCCTCCACCCCTGCCTAACTCCACACACCCCGGCCACAGCCCTTTGCTGATTCCCAGCCATCTCTTCTCCTCTTTTCTCTACACTGCTTAGGCTTTTCTTTTCTTCCTTTTTTTCCCCCCTCTCCTGGTCTAAATCATTCCATGGGCTTGGAAGGAAAGCCAAGAAGGGCTATTGGATGGGGCTAGACCGCCTCTGGGAGGAAACCTGGAAGCAATTTATCATTTCAGGTTTCCCCTCATAAAGTCCTTCCTTTCAGTGACAAAGCCGCAATTGATGGTGCCCGAGTTACCCAGTTCACTCACCGGCTGCCCTGGGCAAGAAACTTCCCCAACTCCCTGTGCTCATAAATCATGCTAATTACGGTCCGGCTGTCTAACTCGGCCTCCTGTGATCCAGACTGCCTGTCTCCCCCTCGCCAGTCCCTGGGCTCGCCTTGTTCTGGTTGTCCCTGCTAGACTGAGGTCCCAGCAGGAAAGGCCTCCTTCCCCTGAGAATAAATGTAGTCCCAAAATAACAACTAATAACACCGAAAGCTTACTAACGTCC